TCTTTTACAGACTGGAGCATCAAATTGGCATTAAAGGAACTGCACTAAGCTGGTTTAAGTCATATTTATCAGATCGTTTGCAGTTTGTACATGTTAACGATGAATCTTCAATAAATACTACAGTTAGTCATGGAGTTCCACAAGGTTCTGTACTTGGACCAATACTATTTACTTTATATATGCTCCCTTTAGGCAACACTATTAGGAATCACTCCATTAACTTTCACTGTTATGCAGATGATACGCAGTTATATCTATCAATCAAACCCAATGAAATTAATCAATTATCTAAATTACAAACATGTCTTAAGGACATAAAATCCTGGATGACCTGCAATTTTCTGATGTTAAACTCAGAAAAAAACGAAATTCTTGTTCTTGGCCCCAAAAACCTTAGAGACTCACTGTCTAAAGATATAGTTACTCTAGATGGCATTAACTTGGCCTCTAGCACCACTGTCAGGAATCTTGGAGTTATCTTTGATCAGGATTTGTCATTTAACTCCCACATAAAGCAGACCTCTAGGACTGCCTTCTTTCATTTACGTAATATTACAAAAATTAGACACATTCTATCACAGACAGATGCAGAAAAACTAATCCATGCATTTGTTACTTCAAGGCTGGATTACTGCAACTCTTTATTATCAGGTTGCCCCAATAAGTCCATTAAAACGCTCCAATTAATTCAGAACACTGCAGCACGAGTACTGACAGGAACTAGAAAAAGAGATCACATCTCTCCTGTACTAGTTTCTCTGCACTGGCTCCCTGTAAAATGTAGAATAGAATTTAAAATCCTCCTCCTCACCTATAAAGCTCTTCATGGTCAGGCCCCTTCATATCTTAAAGAGCTCATAGTACCCTATTACCCCACTAGAACACTACGTTCTCTGAATGCTGGGCTACTTGTGGTTCCTATAGTCTCTAAAAGTAGAACAGGAGCCAGAGCCTTCAGTTACCAAGCTCCTCTCCTGTGGAACCAGCTTCCAGTTGTTGTTCGAGAGGCAGACACCCTCACCACATTCAAGAGTAGGCTTAAGACATTCCTCTTTGATAAAGCTTATAGTTAGGGCTGGATCAGGTGAGTCCTGAACCATCCCTTAGTTATGCTGCTATAGGCCTAGACTATCAGGGGATTTCCCATGGTGCACTGAGCTCCTCTCTTCCTCTCTCTTTCTGCACTCATTCATGTCCCATTAATGCATGTTACTAACTTCACTTCTTCCCCGGAGTTCTTGTGCTTTCCCGTCTCCCAGGTTCTTATCGATCCTGGTGGAGCCTCCTGCCATGGTCCTGCTAGATTGCCATTGCCAATACTGTTGTTACTGTCTGTCTGTCTGTCTCTCTCTCTGTCTCTCTCTCTGTCTCTCTCTCTCTCTCTCACCCCAACTGATCAAGACAGACGACCACCCACCTAGAGCCAAAGGATCTGTCCTAGGTTTTGCCTTTTAACAGGCAGTTTTTCCTTGCTCCCATCGCCAAGGTCTTGCTCATGGTGGTACTGTTGGGTCTCTATAAAGAATGTTATATGGAGTTCGGTCTAGACCTGCTCTATTTGAAAAGTGTCCTGAGATAACTTCTCTTATGAATTGGCGCTATACAAATTAAATTGAATTGAACTGAATGTGCAACCCAGCTGAGTGGAGTCCTGCAGCACATCTTCCACCGGAGCCTGAGTCTGTACAGGGTCCTTGTGATGTGGAAGACATCCTGCCTGGTACCAGTACCGAAGAAGGCGCGTCCCAGCTCCTCCAACGACAACAGACCAGTGGCGCTGACGTCTCACATGATGAAGTCCCTGGAGAGGCTGGTCCTGTCAATTCTTAGGCCCCTGGTCAGCTCATCACTGGACCCTCTTCAGTTTGCCTACCAGCCGAGACTAGGAGTGGAGGATGCCATCATCTTCCTGCTCCACTGTGCCTGCGCCCATCTGGACAGACCGGGAAGTACCGTGAGAATCATGTTCATGGACTTCTCCAGTGCGTTCAACACCCTCCGGCCTGCTCTGCTGGGGAGTAAGCTGCAGGTGGACCCTCCCCTGGTTTCCTGGATTACCGACTATTTGACGGGTCGACCACAGTATGTCAGACTGCAGGACGGTGTGTCTGACACTGTGGTCAGCAGCACTGGAGCTCCACAGGGAACTGTTCTTTCCCCCTTTCTGTTCACCCTGTACACCTCGGACTTTCAGTTCCTCTCTGAGTCCTGCCACCTGCAGAAGTTTGCAGACGACTCTGCAATTGTTGGCTGTGTCAGTGAGGGGAAGGAGGAGGAGTACAGGGGCATTGTGGACTCCTTCTTCGAGTGGTGTGCAACTAACCATCTGCATCTCAACTCCACCAAGACTAAGGAGCTGGTGGTGGATTTCCGCAGGAGGAAATCTGCCCCCACACCCATCTCCATCAACAGTGTGACTGTGAATGTTGTCCAGGATTACAAATACCTTGGAGTACACCTGGATAACAAACTGGACTGGGCCAAGAACACTGAGGCTATTTACAAGAAGGGCCAGAGTCGACTCTATTTCCTGAGGAGGCTCCGGCCATTCAACGTATGTAACATCATGCTGAGGATGTTCTACCAGTCGGTGGTAGCCAGTGCCATCTTCTTTGCTGTTGTGTGCTGGGGCAGCAGGCTGAGGGCAGCAGGCTGAGGGCAGCAGGCTGAGGGCAGCAGACTGAGGGCAGCAGACTGAGGGCAGCAGGCTGAGGGCAGCAGGCTGAGGGCAGCAGGCTGAGGGCAGCAGGCTGAGGGCAACAGGCTGAGGGCAACAGGCTGAGGGCAGCAGGCTGAGGGCAGCAGGCTGAGGGCAGCAGGCTGAGGGCAGCAGACTGAGGGCAGCAGGCTGAGGGCAGCAGGCTGAGGGCAGCAGACTGAGGGCAGCAGGCTGAGGGTAACAGGCTGAGGGTAACAGGCTGAGGGCAGCAGGCTGAGGGCAGCAGGCTGAGGGCAGCAGACTGAGGGCAGCAGATTGAGGGCAGCAGGCTGAGGGCAGCAGACTGAGGGCAGCAGGCTGAGGGTAACAGGCTGAGGGTAACAGGCTGAGGGCAGCAGACTGAGGGCAGCGGGCTGAGGGCAGCAGGCTGAGGGCAGCAGGCTGAGGGCAGCAGACGCCAAGAAGGGCAGCAGGATCACCAGGAAGGCTGGCTCCGTCCTGGGGGTCCAACTGGACTCTTTGGTGGTGGTGTCTGAGAGGAGGATGCTGTGTAAACTGCACAGTATCCTGGACAACAACGCTCACCCTCTCCACCAGGTGCTAACCTCGAGCAGAAGCACCTTCAGCAACAGACTCATTCCCCCCCGATGTAACACTGAACGCCAGAGGAAGTCTTTTCTTCCTGTGGACATCAGACTGTATAACTCATCTACCTCCGGTCGTGAGAGGGACAGTGGAGACACTGTGTCCTGAGCAAATGTCACTTTATAATTTTTTACCCAACTTTCACTTCATCACTTTATTTAGTTGTACTGTACCTTAGTTAATTTATCCTGATAACAAATGCTGCTACAATTTTATTACTTTTACCACTGTTACCACTTTATCCAATCGCTCCTTATCACTTACTCACTTTGTACTTATTTTATTTCAATTTATGCTGCTAAACTGCACGGTGCTTATTGTTGTGTATTATATAAACTGTACCTACATTTAACTGCAATTTTTGTTGCACTTTGTCACATTTCGCTACTTGTTTTCTTCTTTTCTACTTATGTTACCTTTAACTGTTTATTTTATGTTAGTTTATTTTTACTCTAACCCTGAAGTACTTTACTTTACCACCTCTCTATTGAAACTGTTGCACAGTAATTTCCCTCAGGATAAATAAAGCTTCTTGAATCTTGAATCTGTATCTGTATGGATGATATTGATCAGTATACACTGTATCTTTATGGATGATATTGATCAGTATACACTGTATCTTTATGGATGATATTGATCAGGATACACTGTATCTGTATGGATGATATTGATCAGTATACACTGTATCTTTATTGATTATTGATCAGTACACACTGTAACTGTATGGATGATATTGATCAGTATACACTGTATCTTTATGGATGATATTGATCAGTATACACTGTATCTTTATGGATGATATTGATCAGTATACACTGTATCTTTATGGATGATATTGATCCTGTATTGACAGTCAGACTGTGGACATATGACGGCCTTTAGCTCGTGTTTCTAGAGTTACGTGTTGTTACGAACACGTTAGGAATTGTTAAAATGTGATATTTCTTAAAGGGAGTTTGGTGCAGGGAGCTTTTAGTTGGATTCAAACTGCTGATATGGATCATTGTTAACGTTTAGTCTCCACTACAGAAACACTAGCTAACTGCTGAAGGCTGATCAGGTTGATTGATGCTTTAATAATGGGAGTATTGATCAGTGATCAGCAGTATGCTGTAAGTGGTTTAAATTCGGCATTATCAGATAAGCTTTTCTTTGATTAATACATCATAATCAGTGATCAACTTTCTAATTTATGAATTAATCAATCAACATAACAGCAGGCCCACATGCTAACGTTAGCATCCAGCAGGCTAGTCCGATTAAACCTCCCGCTGCTTTGTCACAGACACGTCACTTCATACGTCACATAAATACAATGACGTCATGACTAATTTGACGTTTCTACAGTTTTTTCAGCTGATCTGCTAACAGTTAGCCCGCTGCTAACAGTTAGCCCGCTGCTAACAGTTAGCCCGCTGCTAACAGATGCTACATGTTGTTATACACAAGCTAGCCGACGCTACAAGCTAGCTAAACTAGCTGTTAGCTTCCATCCTCCACCAGCTGATCTGTTAGCCTGCTAGCATGTTAGCATCGGTCTGTCCTTCTGGCAGCAGATTAGCGGGTTATTAGCGGGTTATTAGCGGGTTATAAACGGGTTATTAACGGGTCCTAAGCTCGGGTTTAACCCGGGTTCCCGCGGCTGTCGGTGGACGGTGTCGGTGGACGGTGTCGGTGGACGGTGTCGGTGCCTTAC